CCCAAATTATATGTAATTTTACTTTGTTAAGGTTAAAACCTTCCTTTTTTTAAAAAAAAAAAGGGGGAAGTGCTGTGGGATGTTCTGTATGTCAAATGTGTTGCTGATTAGTCAATAATTAAAACACTGATTGGCCATTGGCTAGGCAGGAAGTGTAGGCGGGACAAGGAGGAGAATAAAGCTGGGAAGTGGAAGGCTGAGTCAGAGAGACACTGCCAGCCGCCACGATGAGAAACAGCATGTGAAGATGCCAGTATGCCACGAGCCATGTGGCAAGGTATAGATTTATAAAAATGGATTAATTTAAGCTGAAAGAACAGTTAGCAAGAAGCCTGCCATGGCCATACAGTTTGAAACCAATACAAGTCTCTGTGTTTACTTGGTCGGGTCTGACGGCTGTGGGACTGGCAGGTGAGAGAGATTTGCCCTGACTGTGGGCCAGGCAGGAAAACTCTAGCAACAGTGAGGGGTTGAAACCTTGAGGGTGGACTATGGAAGCACAACCCCAGAGAGACAGTCAGCATTTAATGCAGCTTGGCCTCTCCTGTCAGTCTGGCACCTGTAGGAAATTTACCTCAGTGGACTCTGGGATTCAGAACCATGAGGCTGGCCGAGCAAAAGACATCTAAACTCTCAGAGAGAACAAGTTGAAACTTGGAGGCAGGACACGGCACCCTGAGAGAGGACAGACAGGTGCCCTGAGAGAGGGCCTCCCACACAAAAAGCCAGAAACCCCACCCTAGTCCCTTCCTCCCCAGTAGAATCCCAGAGCACTTAATTTTTGTCCTTTTGGTTTTCGTTTGTTGGGTTTATTTTATTTTTATTTATGTATATGTGTGTATTTACAGTGTGTGAGCAAGTTACCAGAGGGTGAACCACTCGAAGTGGGTGCTGAGAACCAAACTCTAGTACTCTGGAAGAACAGCAAGTGTTCTGGTGATCCATCTCTTCAGTGCCTTGTTTGGTTTGGTTTGATTAGCTTTTAGGACAGGATACTCTCTACATAGCCCAGACTGCCCCGAAATTTACTGTGTAGACCAAATCAGCTTTGAAATGCCATCTGCTCCAGCCTCCTTAATATTGAGATTACAGGCATGTGCTACCACCACCACCACCCCACCATCCCACTTTTTTTTTCTGGTTTTTCAAGTCAGAGTTTTGCTGTGTAACAGCCCTGGCTGTCCTAGAACTCACTGTGTAGACCAGGCTGGCCTCAGACTCACAGAGATTCATCTGTTCCTGCCTCCTGAGTGCTGGGACTAAAGGTGTGCGCCATCATGCCCAGCTTAAGAAACCTGGTCTACAGAGAAAGTTCCAGGACAGCCAGGGCTACATGGAGAAACCCTGTCTCAAAAAAAAAAAAAAAGAAAAGAAAAGAAGGAAAGAAAGAAAAAAACATTTTCTACGGGCCAGGATATGTGAGGAGATACGTTAAGACCCCAGAGCTGACAGAGGGACACACCTCACCCCATATAATCCAGTGGTAACCTCTACCTCACCACTCTAGTCTCTTCCTCCTCAGGAGAGACTCACAGAATCCAGAGTAGTTATATTTTTGTCTTTTTTGTTGTTGTTAGGTTTGTTTTTGTTTTTATGTATGGGAATGTGTGTATATGCCAATATAATCAGAGACTATCTTTTTTATTGTTTTGAGTTTTTGAGACAGGGTCTTTTTTTGTTTTTGTTTTTTTGAGACAGGGTTTCTGTGTGTGGTCCTGGCTGTCCTGGAACTCACTTTGTAGACCAGGCTGGCCTCGAACTCAGAGATCCACCTGCCTCTGCCTCCCGAGTGCTGGAATTAAAGGCATGTGCCACCACTGCCTCGCTGAGACAGGGTCTTTTTTTTTTTTTCCGTTGGTTTATTTCATTTTGTTCTGAGATGGTCCCCACTATGTAGCCAAAGCTATCCTGAAATTCTGTATAGATCAGGTTGGCCTCTTGAGTACTGAGATTACACTTAGTTTAGGAAACATTTTTTTTAAGAGCCAGGCTTTGTGAAGTATGGTAAGACCTTGAGGGTAGATTGAGGATGCCCCAGTCCTAATAGTATCTCCAAAAACTCTAACCCCAGCTCTTATCTGTCCTGCACCATAACAAACCTCACTTTGTTCAAATGAGAATTAATACCCTCTACCTGCTTTAGTAGACTTTGGAATTCAGAGCCATGTTCTAAGGTTCATAAATCCAAGAGGACCCAGGGGTTCACGGCAGGATTCTGAGAGACTCTGAAGGTAGAATGGAGATGCCCCAGTCCTGATAGCAGAACCTCAAACAATCCATTCGTACCACTTTTGTTCACCCTACACCAAATGGTGACACCTTGTTGGAATGAGCTCTTCCACTTCTTCCTTTTGACGCAATGAACTCTGGAATTTGGAGCTGTGTTCTGAGGGAACTGTTAGGGAACTTGATGAGACCTTGGAGATACATTTAGAAGTTTCCCCCTGATGGAGATACTCCCCACAAGAATGATCTGACTCTGATTCTGTTTTCAGCCATGCACCATACAGGGGCTGTCTTGTTAATCCTCCACTTCAGTAGATTTTGGCAATCACAGTCCTCTTCTGAGGTCTGCATAGCTCTGTGAGAGGTTACAGTAAGATCCCAAGGACAGACTTGGGAAGCTCTAGTCCAAATACAGGGAAACTCCAAGTAACCTTCAAGGATGGTTTCATCCTTGACCCTGTTGCCAGCCCTGAACCACAGGGAAATAGGCTTTTCATGGGAGATACTTGGACCCCCAGCTCCCTTCCCCCAACCCCTCCTTCTGTCTCAGGAGTCCCCTGGAGTCAGACCCTTGGTCTGGGGGCGGCAGACTGAGATCACCAGATGTTGGTGTCCAGAATAATCTAGGAGTCATAGGGAAGACTGCAAGGGATGATAAAGTGCCACCAAAGTATCCCACTATGCCCTCCCTGTTAACTCTGGGAGGCTCAGGATCTATGGTCAGATGTGGAGTTCCCAAGATTTTGTCTTGGGTATCAGAAATGAAGGAATTGTCATGGTCAGAGGGGGAAAGGTCCGGATTGTGAGGGGGAGAATTCTAATACAAGAAGGGTCCCACAGAAGCCTGGTCATATGGTCAGCCCAGGGAAGGAGGTGACCAATAAAGTAATGCCTGTTTTCCACATCTTGGTCTGAAAGGGGAGAGGCTTTGTAGGTAGAAGTAAGGCTTCGGGTCAGCAGAGTAAGGGAAGTCAAGATGAATATTTAGGAAGGACTGAGAGTACCGTGGATGGGGACCAACTATACCCTTGCCCTGAGCCCAGATAGACACTAATAAGCAAGTGATTTCTGACTTCTGTATCCAGGTCTGAGAGAGTTTGGGGATTTTACTACAAAGAACACTACCTAAGCAGAGGGAAGGGTCCAGGTCTTAAGAAGACTAAAGGTAGGAAATAAAGGACATCAGTGGGGAGCTCGCACTTGAGAGCACATGGTTACCTCCCCCCTCTTGTCAGCCCTGGTAGTCTCTGGGAAGAGTAACCAGATGCAGTGCACCTTCACTTTAGCCTATGGGGTGTCAAGGAACTATGAGGGTTGTGCAGAATCTCTGGGGAGATGAGATCTGCTATAAAGGGGAAATGTCAGAAAAGACACATCAGATGAATAAACTTCTGGTGGACTTAGGGAACCCTATATGAGCAGAGATGAGTCCAGATCAGGTAGGCAACCCTGAAGATCCCATGCAGGGCTGAAGAGATATGGCTGTCTGTTTGCTTCTCCTGAGAGTTTTCAGGATTTGAGGGGGAAATGAGGAATTTAAGCTCAGTGGGTGATCTAAGCTAGGCACAGATATTAAAGGATCTGGCAAGAGTCACAGACACCAAGGGCTGACTGAGGTAACTCCAGTCTATGGCACAGACAGGGTCCCCACAGAAGTCTGCACTGCAACCCTTGTCACCATCATCCCCACAATCCTGGGCAGCGCCACCAGTCTAAGCCCTCTGTCTGTTTCTAGGTCATTGGTCTCAGAGAACTGAAGGTCCTATCAAGACGATCTTGACTCAGGTCATCTGAGAAAAGATTCCAGTTGTGTCAGAACTCAAGGTGAGGACTGAGAGAGTCCCATCACCCAAACACATGGGACCTAGTGTTTCTGTTGGCTGTGGGAAAACCTGGGGACTGTAGGTGGATTCCCTCCCCTCACTTCCTTTTTCTTCTTTCTCACAGAAATACATCTTCACGTTAAAGAAGGTGGGTGCAGCTCATTAGGGGAAGCAGTTCAGTCCTTGCAATTTATCAAGGTATGTATGAGACGGGCTCTACTTCCTGATACACATAGACCCTAGTGAAGTATGTTACCTCTTCCTGTCACCCTGGGAAAGGGTAGCTGGATACAAGGCTCCCTCACTGCCTTGTCCTGTCTCAAAGCTGTGGCATTTCATTGCAAGAAGTTGGCCTCAGGCCAGAATAGAGGTGGGGTCCAGACTCTGACAGTGTGAAGAGTGACTGAAGAAGGTACCATATGAGACAGCAGAGAAACTACCCAGAGTCTAGCTCTCCTCTCCTATCAGGGCCAGGCACCTATTATTTTCACACTGTGCAGCTCTGGGATGCCTCTGTATCTCTTACAGGAGTTCCAGGGACCAGAAGTGAAGGACTTGGTCTGAGGCAGTGTCCTCAGGTCAGACATAGGGGAAGCCCAAGCAGAGTCAGGAGTTAAAGTGAGATACCAAGGGTCCCATCCACCCCAGAACACAGGGACTATACACATTTCCCTGCCCTGCTGGAGTGTCAAGCTCTGTAACCTAGCTGTGCTCTGAAGACATTTCTCACTACTTCCTTCAGTGTCATAAGTAATAGGACTGACAGAAAGACAGGTTCCCCTATGGCCATACAGTACCACCTAAGAGAAAAACTGCAGCAGGCCATTTTGAGAGGTTTCAGAGGTATAACTGTCAGCAAAGTATTCTCACACTGCTCTCTTCTTGCCCCAGGTCTGAGTCTGTATCACTGTGTTCCTGCCCATCCTCCTACCTGCTAGCTTCAAGAACATCATGTCTCACGGTCAGAAGAGGTGGTATTGCAACTTTCAGGGAGAATCTCAGGCCCCAAGAGAAGAACAGGGACAGATGAGTTCTGATCTCTCTGTGGCTGAGGGAGAAGAGTCCAATGACAACAAGTCCTCCTCTTCCACTAGCCCAACCATCCCCAGGAAGACACCTGCTGGTGGGATACCAAAATTTCATCAGAGTCCTCAACGAGCCATATCTCCTCCCACTGTCATGGCCTCCATTCCAATATCCCCATCTGATAAGGCCTCTGGCAACCAAATAGGGGAGCTGGAAGGCCCCATGGTATTGCACCATGCACTAAGTGCAAAGGTGGCTGATTTGGTTCGGTTCCTGCTCTTCAAGTATAGATTGAAGGAGCTGACCAACAAGGCAGAAATTATAGAAAAGATTGTAGAAGATGATGAGCAGCACTACAATAGGATCTTTAATGAGGCCTCTGAGGGTTTGAAGCTGGTCTTTGGCATTGACGTGATAGAAGTGGACCCTGTGGTCCACACCTATGCCCTTGCCATTGCCCTGGGAATCACTTATGATGGAATGCTTACTAATGGCCAAGGCATGCCCAAAACAGGCCTTCTAATAATTGCCCTAGGTGTCATCTGCATGCATGGCAACCGCGTCAGTGAGAATGTGATCTGGCGAGCACTAAATAAGATGGGAGTAAGTCCCATGGAAAATCACTATGTAGCTGGGAATGCCAAGAAGCTTTTCATTGAAACTTTTGTACAGGAAGGGTATCTGGAATATAATCCAGTGCCTGACAGTGAGCCCCCTCACTATGAATTCCTATGGGGTCCAAGGGCCCATGCTGAAACCACAAGTGTGGATGTCTTAGAGTTTTTGGCTCAGATCAGCAGGATGAACTAAGTGATTCCAGATCCTTCCAATGCCTGCATTTAGTGGCTTTGAGAGAACAGGGAATTTTGTTTAGAATTGCCACCACAAATGGCACACTTCACAGCCAATACAAGTTCTAGTGTCACATTTAGGAGCTTTCTGAATGAAGTCTCAGATGAGTCTTCACTGTGTTTGAAGGTGGCAGTCACTGTTTTAAGTAGTAAAGACGGCCAGTGAAAGTAAATGAATACTGTCTTTTTTTTCTCCCTGTTTTATAAGGGTAACTTGGAACTTTTATTTTTTTGGTATTTTTTCAAATCTTGTTTCTCTTAATTGAAGGACTTAGTGGGCTTCAGAATCTAAGTCTATAAATAGTACTAATGACACATGTACTGCTTTCTGCAGTAGGGTCACACTGTGTAGCCCTAGCTGGCTTGGAATTCTCCATGTAGGCGAAGCTGGCCTTGAATTCAACAGATATCCACCTGCCTCTTCCTCCTGAGGGCCAGGATTAAAGACTTGTGCCACCACACCTACCCATCTTTTGCTACTTTATACAAAATCTTCCATCTTATTTTGTGGTCTGTAATAACATTGGAATAGGAATTTAATTTGAATTGTGAAAGAATTTAGTAATATATCCAATGTCAAAAAATAGAGAAAAATGAAACAAATGGTTAAATCTTATTTTCCCCTTCAACAAAATCTGTTCCTCTGTAAAATTAAGTTACATGTGTAGATCTAAATGTGGATGGCCTTTTGAAATTGTATGAGGAATTGTATCCTAATAAGTTACCCAGTATGACGCTCCACAGCTTCAGAATTATAGAGACGCTCACTATGATGTATAGACTTTGGATCTGGTTATTTCAGTGTGTGATGTTTTTGATTTGCAAGTTCTTCTTAATAAAATTACAATACAAATAAATAAGCCACCGCGCTTACTGGCTGATTTATTGAGGACCTGTTGTTTGCAAGGTCCTGTATTCATGGGGTAATACTAGGAAAAGCTGGATCTGCTTGCCATAAATGGTCAAGTACATTAGCAGTAGCCATATCAAGAAGAAATGAGGTGTCCTCTTAGACCAAAGGAATCATTTCATGCTGTGATTTAGGCCTGAGAAGTGAATGTTTCCATTCTGAGCAGTTCTTTTTCCAATTTCAGAGCAGTTCTTTTTGGGGTTTGTTGGGTTTTTAGTTTTTGTTATATTGTGAGTAATTATGTGTACATGTGGGGATCTGTGCGTGTCAGTGCCAGTACACTAGGAGGCTCGAGGTGTCAGACGCCCCTGAAGCTGAAGTTACAAGCAGTTATAATCCACCTGCTGTGGGTGCTAGGAATTGAATCTGACTCCTCTGGAATTGAAGTATGCTCTCTTAACCATTGAGCCACCTCTCTGTTCCCATAAACAGTTCCTTTTGGATAGCAGGTGGATATGGCAGACAGGAATCACCATCTACATTGTGTGCAGGAAATTTCGTCCTCAGTGTGATACAGAGAGGACTTTCAAGAGGTTGAGTCAAATGGGAATTCTTTGAGATCATTGCCCTCTTCGAAATAATTGATATGATTCCCATAGGAGCCTGTGTATTTTTTGCAAGCACTTGTTATTAAAAAGAGTTAGCCTTTGGGTTGGAGACATGGTTCAGTTGCTCTTACAGAAGACCCAGATTTGTTTCCCAGCACCCACGTAGCAGCTGCCTGTAACTCACACAACTGTCTGTAACTCCAGTTCCAGGGATGCCCTCCTCTGGCCCCCCATAGGTACCAGGCATGAATGTGGTACACAGATATACATGTAGGCAATCCACTCATAAAATAAAAATAATCATTTTTAAAACAAAAATAAAACTTTAAAGAGCCTGACCACTGAATTGCTCTCTGGATTCCTGATCTGTCCCTCTTGCACACACTCCCACTATAGTGTTGGCTGCCATGAGGCCTTTATCAGAGCTGAGTTTGTGTTCTTGGACTTTTAGCCTCTAAAACTATGAGCTAAATAAAGTCCTTTTTATAAATTACCCAGTGATCTAAATGGAAGAGCATTCAGGAACTGACAAAAGTAACTGGAGAAAGGAAATATTTTGGCTCACCATTTTTGGATAAAGCTCATCATTGTGGGGAAATCCTGGACACGGGAGCTTGCAGCAGCTGTTCAAGTTGCATCTGCAGCCACAAAGAAAAGAATGAGAATGCCTGTGTTCAACAACCTTTCAGTCAGAACCTCAGCCCAGGCCAGCAAATGGTGCTTCCCACATTTAGGTTTTGTCTTCTCACATCAATTAACGTAATCAAGACAATCAGTCACAGGCATGGCCGGAGACTAAACTAACCTAGATAAACCCCTACAGGTATGCCCAGAGGCTTGTTTCCTAGGTAATGCTGGCATGCTGAAAATCAATATTAACATCAAAGAGCCAGATGTGGTCCCAGCACTGTGAGGGGGAAGTGGATACAGAGTCCCACCCCTAAAGGAGAAGCTATTTACAATTGATACTCACTGGCAACGGAAAATCTGTTTTCTCCAGTGGAGTGTCAGTGTATATCAACCACACTCCAGTGGAAGCCCCATGCTCAGGAATAGCTGGCCAACACAAAACAAATGCTATGAGTTTTGTTGTTGCTGTTGTTGTTTTGTCTTATTGGTCTTTTGCTTGTTTGCTTTGATTTTTGTTTTTGTGTTTGGTGGGTTTTGGAGAGAGAAAAAAACAAAGTTGGGTAAGTAGGGAGGGGGGATCTGGGAGAAGTTGGAGCACGAGATGGAACATGACCATGATATATTGTATGAGAATTTTTAGTTAAAATAAGAATAGTAAATAAAAATATATATTAACATCACAGTATGTACTGATAGTTTTATATCAACTTGATACAAGCTAAAGTCATCTGAGAGGAGGGAATCTCAAGAAAATTCCTCCATAAGATCGGGTTGTAGGCAAGCCTGTAAGACATTTTCTTAATTAGTGATTAATGGGGAAGGGCCCAGCCCATTGTTGGTGGTGCCATGCCTGGGCTGGTGGGCCTAGATTCCATAAGAAAGCAGACTGAACAAGCCAGGAGGAGCAAGCCAGTAAGCAGCACCCCTCCATGTCCTCTGCTTCAGCTCCTACCTCCAGGTTCCTGCCCTGTTTGAGTTCCTGTCCTGACTTCCTTCAATGTTGAACAGTGATATGGAAGTGTAAGCCAAATAAATCCAACTTGCTTTTGGCCATGGTATTTCATTGCAGGAACAGAAGTCCTAACTAGGGCATAGTACTTAAATTCTAGAAGTTTCAGTTGCATCCAGTTAGGGAAGGGTCTAGACAAATTAAATAATAAATAACCTAGGGAGAAATGGTGGTTGTATAGTGAAGGGGGTTAAACTCTCCCACCGTCAAAACTGAATTTAGGTTTCAGTTCTCTGAGAAGGGCAAAACAGGTGTCTCTCCCAACAAAGGGCCATTTATCCACAATATCCTTACATTCAGGCATGAGGAAGAGAGCACACTCAAGGCCTAAGTCAGCTTCACAGTGTCCCAAGGACAAACCCAGCAGCCCCCTTCTGAGTCACATCCAAGTTTGTGCAGATGTGTCCAAAAATGATAAGACTAAACCTCAGACAATTAAAAAGTATACTAATATAACTGCTGCTTGTTTAACCAATCACATTTGAGGTGACCTAACTGTCCCTGAAGCTCCCCTTAGCTGTTACTAAAAGGGGCCTGCGTGCTCATCTTAGGGTTGTCACCATTTTGTACAGGTGAACACCCCACATGCATGTTGGTATAATAAATGCTCTTTGCTTTTACATACTCTTTGAGTCTGGGGTCTTCCTTCAGCACATTTTAGACCCTACAATAGAAATCTCTGCTAGATATTACTATTCTAATATGTATCATGCTTTGGATGCACTTTGCATGCACCACAAACATCCCAATAAATCTACTTCACAGTTGAATAACCTGAAGTTCACAAGGCTTAGTAATTTTCCCACAACTGTATTGGCTCATAAGTGTCAGGATTGGAATGAGATGGCTGTTGTTATAGGTAGAATTGTACCAATTATAAAATTTCTATAAAAATCTGCACCTCCAATACTTAAGACTGTGACTATATATGAGTACTGGGGAAGCTAATACAAAATAAAGTCATAGTATGAGTCCTA